TTGGGAGAATATCTACTGATGTGCTGAACAAATGTGGGTTTTTGACCCAGCAATGTACACACACATATATATATATATATATATATATATATATATAGGTGGTAGGGAATATTTAATATATATAACAATAGGAATATTCCAACTTGGAAGCTTCCCCTGAGGCAATCCTACTTTTACTGTTCAAACTAAAACACTAATTACAATTAAATAAACACACGCACACACACACATACATAATACATATATATTACATTAATATATATATGCACATACGCAACCGACTTTTCTCTCTCTCTCCTCACACACTTATATATATATATATATATATATATATATATATATATATATACAATAAAATCCAAAATTACCTTATTTCTGCTCTATAATATTAAATATATTGAGCTCTTTTGTGGATCACTTTTAATATTTCATGTTACTCATGATCCACTTGGATTATATAGCAGCGGATTTGTTACGTGTACTATATATATATATATATATATATATATATATATATATATATATATATATATATATATACGTTTGCATTTTAGTTCGATGAAGGTCAATACCGAATACAGAACCATACAATTTGTTGACATTTGTAATTAAAGAAATATTTTTGGTGGGGGTGCCTATTGAAAATGCTTTATTATAAATCAATGGATTTCGATTTTCCTTTAATTGTTCATAGAAAACAAAAGAAAAAAACCCTGCATTGGATCTGATGAAAAACCCGGATGTTATAAAAAAAATGAAAGAAGAAAAAAATGTCGATCAAAAGATACCTTTGTGTTATATTTCTAAAATACATCAGTTCTTATGCAATTGTAAATAGAACACACGGACGTCTGTAATAATGCTTCATGCTCTATTCGTTTGTAAAAAAAAAAAAAAATTATGCGTCCATACAATATATGTGAATAGACATGTGTATGAGACAATGTTTTTTTTTTTTTCTTGTAATATATTCACACGTTAATTTGTGTTAAAAGTTGCTGTGTAAGATTTGACGAAGCTTTTGAGTTTCGGTTTGCAGACGAACAATGAAACTGAAAAAAAACAAAAAACGCTGATGGCGGATAAATGACAAATTCACGGTGGACGCTCTGTAAAAATAAAATTAAACAAACCTACGCCACATCGTGATGCGATAATTTTACGTGTAATCAACAAAAAAAAACGTATAGAAAAATGAATTTGTAGAGAAAAAATATATATGTATATTTATATGTATACACACACACAGACACACACACACAGACACACAAAGACACACACACAAATATATATATATATATATATATATATATATGCCTTAATAAAGTACAAACATTATGTCTGCTTATTTTTATCATAATCCTTTCACATTCGTGAATATGAAAGGATTATGATAAATATAAGCAGACATATTTTTTGTACTTTATTCAATCAGACATATCTAAAAGAAAATTTTCTGCCTAAATACACTAATATATATATATATATATATATATATATACATACATATATATATATATATATATATATATATATATATATATATATATATATATATATATATATATATATATAAATACACCCAAAAACAGAAACAGAACTGTAATATTGTTTAGTCGATGCTGTTTAGATAATATTGAAAAAATATTTACGGGAGTATTAATAATGAAAAAATTAAACACAAGAACATGAGTAAATTTTGGACAACACCTGGAAGAAAAAAATACAAATCCTGTGTAAGACTTAAAAAAAAAAAAAACTGAACCTTCTCCAAAGCGAAAAAAATACAATAACTCATGTCAAAATCCTTGTAAACTGTTTTTTTTTTAAATAATAATAAAATACAAAAATATAAAAAAACAATGGTTTCATAATGTTTTGTCTCGATTATAAATTCATAAAACAAGACCGAGAACACAAGAAACATATATACATACATACATACATGCATACATACATATATATATATATATATATATATATATATATATTAAATATATTTAAACTCGGTGGGTGTAAAAAAAAAAAATGGGATATCACAATTTTCAAATAAAGTGGCATCCGAGGAAAAATGTAAAAAAAAAAAGGGAAAAAAAAAACCTCCGATCAGGACAAAAGAAATCGTCCATGGTACAAAGAAAAAACAACCCAGCGAGTAATAAGTAAAAACAAAGAGTGCTCAATACACTAAGCAGAGCAAAGGTAAACAAATCCAATTGAGCCAGGCACGAGCTACCTAGGTTTCAGCACGTATTTATTTTATATATATATATATATATATATATATATATATATATATATATATATATAAAAGAATGTGTAAACACAAAATATCTTAAAACCTTCTCCATTTCATAATGTGTGACGTCATTTGTTTACATTTGATACGCCATGAACACATATGAATGTACGTGAGTGATTCATGGAAGATTAAAGTTTAAATACAGTAAATCCGACCCTGCTCACCGCGCCTCTGTGGCCAAATCGGTAAAAGGCACGT